AAAATTTGTAAATCACTGCATTTTGTTTTTGTTTACATTTTACAGTCTCCCAAATGTTTTGGAATCGCAGTTGTATAAAGAAAATTTCCTGTTTTTTCTTTAGGACTATATTCAAGAGACAATAGCACATTGGAGGAGCTGCAATATCGATGTGCTGTTGTCCCCCATGATAGGGCCAGCCAGCAGGTTATTGCACGCTGACAAAGTTCCAAGTATGGTATACTGAGTATTAAAAAAAAATCATTATTGTCCATCTATCTCTCTCTTTTTTTTCATTATTGTAAGTTTGTGGATGTATGAAATGCTCCTAGGTGGCAGCATAGTTCCTGGGATTTGAGATCACATAAAAATTATCTCATAAAACATTAGGATTGCTGCCCTTCTCTAGTGCTAACACGCATGATTAAAAAAGGCAGAGAGTGAAGAAAAACAATATCTCCAGACATTAGTCAATTAGGAAAGTCACCTATAGATTAGAACATTTGGACAAATAATAATATAAAGGCACTGTTACACTAAATAAATCACATATTAATTAAAGAGCAACAGAATTTTGAAGGGCTAAAGAAAAGTGAATCTGTCTTAAAATATTTCATCATAACTAATCTACTTGTATCTTCTGTTATTTCAGCTGCTGTCAGTTGCACGATGCTCTATAATCTCTTAAAATTTCCCGCTGGTGTAGTCCCTGTTTCCACAGTGACTGCGAAGGATGAGGAGGAACTAAAGCACTATAAGGGCTGTTATCAGGACAGTTATGACAAGTCCCTGAAAGAGGTAACACATACCAGTGAGGGGAGACAGATTGAACACATGAGTGAGACCAGTTTTTTGTGCAGTTTTAAAATTTCTAAACAAATGAATACAACTTTAAACTACACGCAGGAAGATTTCAGGTGTGGTGGTGCGTAGGCCCATCTATCCTACTTGGAACCAAAAGCTAAACCAGATCAGACGATTGAGACATTTTTTCTTGTGGTTCTGTAATTTATTGACTCTCAGTTACACATGAACTTTACAAAATGTTCCACAATTTGTTAGTCAGCTCGAGGCAGAAGACTGCGGTCCAGCTGCCAAGCGTTAAGTGACAGGAGTGTGTTTTTGTGTTCAGGCAGTGACTGGTGGCGAGGGTCTACCTGTGGCGGTTCAGTGTGTTGCTCTGCCGTGGCAGGATGAGCTCTGCCTGCGCTTCATGAAGGAAGTGGAACAACTGGTAAAAGAAAGCAAGAAGCTTTCTTTCTCAGTCTCACAGGAGAGGCTGCAGACTTCAGAGGCAACGTGTTAGCTTGAGTAATTAAATTTTAACAGTTAAAATTCAGGTTAAAGTCAAGGCAGTTTTATTTCTTTATGCCAAAATCACATGTAAAGGTCCTTCACAGGGAATGAACAAATAAATACATACAGCCATTAATAAATGGAACAGTACATTTAAAAAAATTGAAATCACTAAGATATTAAAACAGACACAATTTATATGTATAGGAGTGTTTGTGTGCCTTCTTATTCAGTCACAATGACGGAGATATTCATGATACAATATCTGGGTTACAGAAAGCTGGAGGACGCAATGAACTAAGTTAAAAATCAGCATCTGCTGTCAGTCAGGATAAACGTATTGATACTATTTTTATGAGAAAACGTTAGGGGACCATTCGTCCTCGTCATACTCGAGAGGTCAAAGTAGATTCTGCTGCCCGATATTTATCCTGTAATATATGCTTCAGCACAGTAAGATGTATTAAACCCGCTAAATAATGCTCTTTTGTTTTCTTTAGACTTTTAAGTCCACTAATTGTCTGTTGACAGCTCCCTTCTGACATGTAACAGTCTCCTGGCAGCTCTCACTCAATTACTTTGAAACTAAAAACTGCTATTCTTAGGTGAGCTCTACTGATTATCAACTCCTTCCCTATGAAAAGTTACTGCGTGTGCCGTTAATGCGCAGTGATTTACAATAGACATACATTTTGTTTAACATGCCATTTACCAGATGATTTCTATTTTGGAGTTTTTCTTTTAATCATAACAAGTAAGTGCTAAAATGTTTAAGTTGGGTCATGACTAGTTCAATTTTCCTTGCATGGTTGGTCAAAGCTTTAAAATTAACATTTTGTAAATAATGTGTAATTAGCACATGGAGCCATCTGGTAAATGGACTGGTTCTCTCTCCACTCTTCTACTGTAAGCACCCAAAGTGCTTTATTTAACATGTGTGGAGATTAGAGAAATATTTTACTGCTATGGTTCATAATCATCATCATTACCATTGCATTAATAATACAGTTTACAGTATTGATATTGTATTCAGATGTTTAAACATATTGGCACCCAATTAGCCCTTATTACAGGTGCAGTTATAACCACGTTAAACTATTGAGTTAAATCTATAATCTTAAATGCTTTTGAATGCTTTTCATAATATTAAATGTTTATATGGAGATTATATTGCATTATAAAAGAAGGGCCTAACTCTGAGTACACTCTGTGCCAAACTAGGTACTTTGAGGAGCTGTTTGAATGATGCTATTTGAATAACCAGGTTATTCATTATTGTCTTTTATACTTTTATATTTTTTGATTAAGCTTTTAGCAGAGGTTCTTGATTAAAACATTTATTCAACATATTACAGATATAGTTTCAGTTAGGTTATTATGCACATGAGAATTGGCCTCTCTTCTCATAAGACAAAGTTTGTGTGAGACGCACACCTGCACACGCACACCTGCACACACTTATGTTCTAGGTGAGAGTTCAGATATATTTGCTTGCAACTGCATTTTTGTGCGTGCAGAATTGCTAGTTTGTTACAGAGCATGGGACCATGCTCCAGGTTTTGGAGAAGCGAGAGTCAGAAGATGGACAGGAAGCACCTGCCGTGGAGACGGAGACAATGTTCTTTTCAGACTGTGTTAAAAGTCATTGTGGTTTTGATTTGACGTATGCATGTATTGTATCTGATGACGCATGAGGGGGCGTTAACCCTGATGAATCAAAAGCAATCTGAAGTGTCTTTTTGGGCGGAGATCTACAGCTGATGTTTTACATCTCCCCATGCTGCGTGTGGTCATTAAAATCATAGTTTGACTTCACCTGGCCGGATCAGTGTTGTTATTGGATTACCTCCTGTATCCCTCCTTAATATTGAACCCTTAACACATGCTTCATTCATCCATTGAAACGCAGTCACACAAGCACTTTTTCTACACCTAAGGGCATTCTAGCTGACATTTACACATATTCATACTCTGATGAATGCATTGGACTGCAACTTGGGATTCAGTCTCTTGCCCAAGGATACTTAGGCAGACCGGAGCATCTAGGGCTCAAACCAGCAACCTTCCAATTAGTAGATGAGCTGCTCTACCTCCTACACTACAACCACCTGATGAGCCATTGTCAGGATGTCAGGGGAACATGACAGCTTCCACAAATGTTGCACACTCTGTGGTGACCCTATTTTTATAGGATTAAGTTTATGAAAATGTATCAGTTTGTTGGAAGATGTAATTACACACTAATTAATGTATATTTATGTATTCAAGTTTTTGTATTAAATAACCTTAAAAAATGACTGCCTGCACATTTAACAAACCAACCCTTCTGGAGGAATGCTACTGTCCACCCGTTTCTTGGGAATAGCTGTTTCAGGAAGACCCCCACCCCCTCATAAACTTCTACCAGAAGAGTTCACCCTTTTATCAAAGTATATTGAGATTGATTTCAAACATGCTTTCAACCTGTTGTTATACATTTTATTTTGTTAGTAGATTCTTACTGTTCTTGTTTTTGACCCAGCAGTTTTTGCTGTTGTATGAAGAATGTGGTTCATTATTGACATGAACATAAATATTAGTGCTTTATTACTAGATAACAAACAGAACTTTACACTACCACTGATTTTTGAGGTTGCATCTTCATGCTAATTTGCCCCCTTTAGAAAGTTAAAATGTTAATTGATTCAACTCACATGCAAAAACAAAATAAATATGCAAAAGAAAAACAAAAGTGTGACTCAAGTATGATTCAAAAGTATTTTTAGTATTAATACTAAATGCAGTTAAGATCTTAACTTAATTATCATTAGCATTATTAATATGTTAATTGTGTCATAAATCATGACACACTCCCTCTGCAAGTGTATCTAGAAAGTTCTTTTTGTTTTTTGACTCTTTGCTAAAGATTGGATAAATATTAACTGTAAAAATTAAGGTTTTATATTTTTTTAAGACCAGGCTTTTTATTTTGTCCTGTGCTCTCAATTTTACGTAACGTAATAAAGTTTGAAATTAAATTACGGACTTCAGAGAAAATGCAGTCATGTAATAAAAAATGTTGAAAATTAGAATTCATAACAGGTATGAAAATTGGTAGCACACCCATGTTTCTTCACCCCAACCAATACATTAAATAATACAATATATATATGAGAGAGTGGAGGATCGCAAGTTCAATTCCCGCCGGGGGTGTCTGTATCCAGTAAGGGTCCTAAGGCTAGACCCCCCATGCTAAGCGAGCCTACCGCAGACATGATAAATGAATATGAAGGCATGCTGGCTTGGACGTCGCCCGGCTCAATAAGTTCCACGTCAGGTGATGAGGAACGACGGCACCCTGACGAGAAATGGGCTACTGGAACAAGAAGCCATCGGTGGGCAAGAGACGAAAACAGGGCGTTGTTGGAATGCTACTACGCAAGTAACCCCGGCAGAAGGGGCTACATGAATAGGATGAGGGACCTATGGATTCTTCGATACCCAACATCCACAATGACAACGAAACAACAAGTAGCTCAGTGTTCCAACATTCGAAAGAAGGGACTGCTCTCACAGCTAGAGATTGATGAGGTACAACATAAATGCCACGGCAAGGGGGAGCCAGGACGCCAGGTCAGGGGGGAGATATCATCACCCCCACCTGAGATTGGGTACCACGCCCCAAGTGCGATGGGAGAAGGATCGTTGAGTGTGAGAGGAACTGACCTGAAAGATTGAAAGATGGAAGTGTGACAAATGTCAGCAGAGAAGCGGTTTCAGCCTCTCTCCATGCTTTAAGGAGGTTGAGGTGTTATACCTGTGTGACCATACCATTTCATGGTCTACGTCACCCGCTCGCCATGTGACCACGAAGGGTCCTTGCCACTTGGTGAGTAAGTTTGACGTGGAATAAAGGAGTAATACAAGCACTTTATCTTTACCTTCCTCACAGTTTTCTTTAATTAGGTCAAACAACCCCCATGGCTTCCGGATGAACAGTTATTCAAAGGAAGAAAATCCCATTGAGGCCTGGGGCAGATCCCGCACTGCAAACAACAGAGGGTCTAACCAGCCATCCCAACTGCATTCATCCTCATGAATTAACTTACGGATCATGGACTTTAAAGTTTTATTCAGCCCATTAGACTGAGGGATAGTGTTGGGATGTGGATATATATTTTTAATGCTTATTTTATGATTATATTGTTTTATGTATTTTAGTAAGAGAGGCCTTTAGAAACCAAGCCCAGACGAGCCAAAAACTAGGTCAGAGGGTGGCAGGTCGCCCTGGCAACAGACTTTAGAAAGGGGAAGTTTAGTGCAGAGCTGCTCAGGAAATCAGACACAAAAAGAAAGAGGAACTAACTGAGTGTGTGTATGTGTGTGTGTGTGTGTGTGTGTGCGTGTGTGTGTGATGTGCTGCAGAACTATATAACCATGCTGGCTGCTACTGCATTCAGACCTGAGC